GTTGGATGGACAAAAAGCAAAATATCTACAGAAATGTCGCGCTTAAATTACTTCACGGATCAAAGTCTTGTAATGAAGAATTCGTTAAAGAGGTGATTTTTATTTCATGCATATTATTAACTGCATTTAATAATTATTATACAAAGTTTTTAATTCTTCTGCTTTATAATATTAAAGTTGAAGGCATATTGTGATATTAATTCTAAGCACCCATCATTTCTACAATGCCTTGGAATATCAAAAGATGATATATCAGAAGATTATATTATTGTTTTGAAATATGCAGCAATGGGTTCTTTGCGTCAAAATCTTAATTCAATAACAAGAATAGGCTGGAAAGATAAATTAACCTTATTGCATTGTATTGCTTCTGATCTTGAAATAATTCATTCTCAAGGTCTTATTCATCGAGATTTACATAGTGGCAATATTTTGCAAGATAATTTACATAGTGCATACATTGCAGATTTGGGGCTTTCAATGTCAATAGCAACAAATGCAGAAAAACATGGAGTTTATGGTATTTTACCATATATCGCACCAGAAAATTTGAATAGAGGACAATATTCGACAGCATCAGATATTTATTCATTTGGCATTATTATGTGGGAAATTTTATATGGAAGATCAGTATCTTATAATCAGGAGTTTGGATCACAGCTTCAATTTGAAATATGCAATAGAGATTTGAGACCAAAGATTGTTAATGATACTCCGCAATGTTATATAAGCCTAATGAAGAAATGTTGGGATAAAGAATCAGTAAATCGCCCATCAGCAACTGAAATTTGTGAAATCCTTACAGATTGGCAAGATGATGAAAAAATTTTATTAGAATTTAATAAGTCAGAAGAAATATTGAAAGATATACAGCGTACACATATACAAACATATTCTGAAGACATTTATAAAAGCAAATTTATTCATTATACTGCGCCGTTTTATCAAGGTATAATAACCTAAGTTTATTTATTAATATTAATTAAGGATAGTATTCTCTCCAACTAATATAACATTTCTGAGCAAAAATATCTCGATAATCATCTAACTAAATTGATAAAATTATTAATATTCGAATTCAACAAACCTGTAGGATCATAACTAAATTTTTATTGAATAATTAGGTGGTGGTTAAATATTTTGCTTAAAAAATTTAAAATTTTTATTAAAATAGAAACTGTACAAAATTTTTAAAATATAAGACACATTGACAACCTCCGAATTAAATCCAAGAAATTTTTATTTAATTAGTTGGTTGTCAAGATATCTTGCTTAAATATCCAAAATTTTTTATATTAGCGTAGTACGAATACTAGTTAATATTGATGAATTATATAATACTAATTAATATAAACTATTTATTATTTTTTAACAGATAGTGGAGTAAGCGATTTGAATATTAATGAATAATACATGAGAAGCGCTCTGATCTGACTAAAAAAGAGGCTAGCAGCAAAGCATGGCGACGAATAAGCATTATGAATCGTATCTTCTTTGATTAGGAGTACCGAAATTTAATTGCAATTAAATTTTTATGCATTACGATCAAGTACAATTGTAATAAACAAAATTTATATTTAAACCAATTGCAAAAAATTGCAATTTCGTTACGATATAAAGTTTGACCTAGGGTGCACTCATACATCTTCCTCAATGTGATCAGCTAGTAAAAAGGATTCATTTGTATTCAGCAGGTGGTAGGAGATAAAATTTTGAGTAATTTAAGTCTGTATTAGAAGTTCAGTAAGTAATGGAGTAATAATTAGATAAAGAAAATTATTTTTGTATTTTTTCAATAATAATCTTATTATTGTGATATGAAAGCAACTAAAGTTTGGATTTTGTGAGTTTTTTAGATGTATTAATAGTATAATAGGCATAAGGGTTATAACTAGGTGATTGGTAGTGTGGTAATATATTTTGATAATAAGAATGTGTTAGAATTGTATCTTCTAAATATAAAAATCAAAAGGGTTTTCTTTTTTTAGATAAGTATAAAAGTCTAGATGAAAGGTGTTTTTAGTCTAATAAGATATTGTTATCAGCTGTGCAAAGTTGTTTGAGATACATAATATTTGATTGTCTAAGTTGTTTTTTGAAGGTTGAATATTTAGAATATTAGGATAAAATTGATTCTAGTGATTAGCCTTTATTACTAATTATATAAAGTCATATTATATTAGAATTGGTTAAGATTACTAAGCCAAGATAAATAAAAAGTTGAATAATTTTAAAGTTTAATGAGTGTCTGTTAGGATCATCAATAATTGGTTTAGAATGATATAAGATATTAATAAAAGACTATAACTTATTTTGTAGTTGTTGAAGTCTAATTTGAGTTATAATGTCAAAAAGGTCAGGATTATTGATTTGTTGGAAGTAATTGGAGATATGATGCTAAAGTTGAATATCTTATATATTATAAATATTATATAAATATAGGTTAAGCATTATGTTATTTGGTATAGATTTAGAGAGGTGAGACTTGTATTTTACTACAATAAGGTATTTGAATAAGATTTGATTACATATAGTATAAGATAAAATAGTATTATGTAATCTATATTCCAAAGTTGGAATAATTACTATATTAATAATATAAACAATTTGTTTGTCAATGATTTTCTTTGTACTGATAATATTAACAAGATTATAAGCCTCTTTTTTTATTAGTTTGATAACTTGGAATTATGTATTGTTAAGTGTAAACTAATATTCAAGAAACTTGAAAGGTTAATTTTTAGAAATAGAATAAATTAAAGATTCAGAACATCATATAGAAGTAATAAAAGAGTTTGTAACTAAAAAGATTTTGTCAGATTAATCTGAATATTGACTATTTAATATAAAAATTTAGTAGTTTTAATTATTAGATTAAGCTCTTCTTTAAACTATGTGATTTAAAGAATATTATTCATATAGACTAAAACTGATATAGATATTTTTAAAGTTTGAGTTTAAGCTGAATGTAAGTTAGTTTTTTAAGATACAGATAAAGAGTAACCTAAAAATTGTATGACAATTTTATAAATTTAAGGATTATAATAGATTTTTCAGAATAATAGAGTTATAGTTTTTTCTTGATCTATACTATTTTTAACTAAATAAAAATTGATAAGACTAAGATTAAATATAATCAGATTTTAGTGATTAATAAGAAGATTAGTAAGTATATTAATAAGAGTTTGAGGCATTGATATTCATTTAAGAGACTTTGTAAAAAGTTCTAAATTAATAGAATTATATGCTTTGTTCATGTTCTAAGACAGAAGTCATAATTGTTTATTGTTACAACTAGCATATTCAATAATATTATTAAGTATATATAGAAATAGAGATGCTATTACCAGATAAAACAATATAATTGTAAGGAGATAGAATATGATGTTGTGTAAGTATTAAATAAAGACAATTGGTAAGAAGTTTGGTATATAATTTCTTAATATGTTTGACAAGACTAATAGGTCTTGTATTAGAAAAATTTTTATTAAAAATGTTTTTGGATATTGGAAAGATGTAACCTTCTTTCTATTACTTAGGTATATGAAAAATTTGGATATATTGATTAAAAAGGATAACTATTGCTTGAAGAAAAGTGAGACTAGTCTGTTTAAGCATTTTATAGCTAATAACAGATGGTCCACATGCTTTGTTATTAGGAAGTTAGTTAAGAGTTCTAGTAATTTTATCTAATGAAAATTTAATCAAGGCTAAGTTATAGTAGTCTAAACTAGTAATAACTTTTGGTTTATATTCCTTTGATCAGTTAGTATTGAATTCATAATTATTAATAGGTTTGTAAGCAGTCTAGCTATCAAAATGATGTTATATATGTTTTTTAATTAGTTTAGAATCTATAATAGTGTTATTTGATGTTTTTATATTGTTGAATTTTACTGGATTCTTATCATAAGTTTGAGATTGGTTTGAAGATTAGAGCATCTAAGATTAATAAATTGATTTATTTGTTTTCAGATTTGTTTGATATTTTTTATGTTTTAAGCATAATAAAAAGCTTGTTATTTAGTATTAGTATTAGTAATTTAGCTTGGTATAAGCTTATAAGAGTTGGGAATAGAAGTTATATTAAAATAATATATTGAGTTAAAATAGTATATAAAAAATTAAGATATATAGATATAGGTAATGAGTTAGTTAAGAAGGCTTTAACTTATTTAATAATGTTATTAAGTTTTTTAAGATTTAGATAAGATTTTTTAATTGAATCTTAAAAAGATTCAACATTAAAAATATCGCAATATAATTTTTATACATTACTATAAAAACTTTTTTGCATCGATGTGATTTAAAATTTTCAGTCATCATAACTTTTTGTTTAAAACATCTAATGATAACAAAAGCCGAGTATCAAAAAGATCTAGCATTAAAAATATCACAAAGATTTATAATAAAACTTTATATATAAATATAAAGAAAGTCTGCTTTACACAACTACAGGTTCAAAATTTTGATTATCAAGGCCAACTCATAACGTGCACAAGAACGTATATAGCAAAACAAAAGAAAAAATTCCTGCAAATGAAATAATAAAAATGCTTGCTTGATTGATTGTTTTTTAACTATAACCTTTTTAGTTGTACTATGACATTTGTTCATTACAAGGATTACCAGGAAATGATGGTAGTACGTCCGTAATAGTTGTAGCACTTGCATAATTTTGATGTACCCCGATAAGCCATGTAGGAATTCAGTAGTTTATCGACACCTAATTTGCTGACACCTATTTCACTGACGGTCATTTCACAGACAGCCCACTTCTCTGACAACACATTTCGCCGACAGTCTATTCCCCAACAGCTACTTCACCAACTTCTAGCCATTATTAATTATAATGCAAGCCAAAAGGAAAATGGGCTGTCGGGGAAGCGAAGTCTGAGAAGTAGGCTGTCGGGGAAATGTACTATCGGTGAAACACATTGTCAGAGGAGTGAGCTGTCAGTGAAAAGACCGCCAATGAAATGGGTGTCGGCGAAATTGGGATGAGCTATGTAGGTTACGTAGTATCTCACCTATGCCGCAAGAGAGTCAAAAGTTTAATCAATTGACAGATGAATATGATAGTTATGATATAAATATTAGAAAGTTTGCCACACACTTGGATCTTTAATATAGGGTGCACTTTATTGAACGGGTTGGATCATTTTTTTGAAATGAGCATCGCTAAAGAAAACCAGACATCTAAAAATAGAATTATTATATAAAATATAATAAAACTATATGTGATGGTTTTCTTTTAGCGACACCCAAATATGACTTGGAAAAATGGGTGAATATATTTTTATTTAAAAAACTATCGTTTATTGTCCGAAGGACACCTGATGTCTGTATGTTAGCAAATTCTAATTTTGATTGGCTAGATCAGGTGTAATTAAAACAATCAATGCTTATTGGCTAAGGGTGTTCTCAAGCAACTTCCTCGCATTACAATAAATTGAGTGGTTATTTGCAGTTAATCGAAAAACGAATTATTAAAAATTCATTGTTCGAAATGCGGATTTTAAATTTTAACCAATCAGAAAATATAGCTCCGGGTTTATTTGACCTAATTGATAATCACGAACAATTTTTTCGGCCAAACGGATCGTTTGGTAAACACATTAAGAGAATCGCTTGAGAATGGCCTAAATCAGGTGTAACGCATAACAAAAATACTTCGGATTTTGAAAGGTTCACATTTTCCTAGTAAAGTAAATATCAATAGTGACTTGGGAGATTTTCATCGTCGCCGTTATTGATAAACTTATTATGCAAGTTAAAACTTTTTACGGGTGATACTAGAATGGCTTCACTGATCAAGTCGTACTTAATGGATAACTTACATGACTAAACCTTAATGTCGATTGGCCAGACAATTACATTACTGATAGATCACAATTCATATCATAAATCACTAAATAATTTTTTAATCATTAATAATTCATAATTAATTCTCATCATCATCTATAATTATCATAAGTAATTCATGAGTTCAATGGATAACTATATTCGAGGATGCTTGAAAGCACCCTTAACTGTGAAAAGAAAACTCATTAATCTCATGATCAAAATACTTAAGCCCCTTAGCCCTTCTTAAAAGCTATAAAAAACATTTACAGTACAGCACTGCATTAAATACCCCTTAAAAAAGTTTTTCTTAAAATAGTGCCGGGATACTGCTCAATTGTAGATTTTAACGGTTTGAAAAGTATCTCGGTACAATAATTCTGTTAAATGATCAATTTAGATGATGTTGGTAAATCCCCTTGTATAGTATTCCCGTTAAAACGAGAGATAAATCTTTTTGATGCATCAATAAAGATAACTTTAAATAAGTAGTGGCACAGTAATGACCACCGTTTCTATATTTCTGGCATCTTCTCTTAACACAGGGCGCTAAAATATTATTTACTAAACTTTGCTTTTTTAAAAAATACCGTGGGTACTGGATGCCGTGCCGTATGATAAATATTTCCTTTGTAAATGTAGAACCTTCGGACTATTAAATAGAATCTTGCGTATAACAATTAATAAAATCAAGTACAATGCTGGTCAAAAGTATTCCCACCTTCTAATTTTTTACTATCAAGTCCTATTGTTTTTATGCTTTAAAAATAAATAGCATATTCTATATCAAGATAACTTTTAAATTTTTATGAGTTTATTATCACCATATCTAAATTTATTGCGCTTTTCAATGATTGCTCGGAAACAAATTTTAGCCAACCATATATTTGCATTTATTTTAGATTTCTGATTCTTAGTGTGATACGTGGAACTTGCTGATCACAGTAATTTGAAGAGCGTAATAAGTAAGAGCTAAAGTTAAGACTAATTTAATTAAAATAGTAAATTTTTTAAAAATTAGGTTTGCATTAAAATGCACCTATAGTATTTTATTTTATACTTATTGCATACATTATCTCAAAACTGCTCTAATTATTTATGCAAGATGTACTAAGTATGAATATTCTACGTCCAAAAAACCCTTTCCAATTCCTAATTCTATATAAATACAAATTCTAACGTGAAAAAAAGCTGTTAAAAATTTATATATGGTGCCTTAAAAACTTGTAAATTTTCAAAAATATATAATATGTGCGAAATTACCATAGATGCGTTTTATAATAAATGAAATATTAAATAAAAATAAGTATTGGTTTAAAATTATAAAATTTTAAAAATAATTATATTAAAGTTTAAGTTTTTTTAGCAAGAAATTAAATCTTAAAGTAACTTTTTAATTCTTGACGTAATATCTAAAACAATTTAAATGTTAAATTTTAAACCTTACAGAGGAAAGGATGAGCTTTGGTCAGTATCCTTTCTATATTGTTAAATCGCAATTGTCAAACTTCTGCCGAGAAGATTTAAATATAATTTTTCCAATTCCAGATTCTTATATATTTAGTACGCTAATATTGTTTTCTGGTTCATTTTTGATAAATATTTTACGATGATAAACTTCAGTTCGCCTACAACAAAATCATTGATTTCTTATTTATACATTATAATTTTTTTTACCTCAATTATTCACGCTTTCTTATATATCCCAAATTATAAATGTCCAGGAGAAGAATCCCTTCAAGAATGTCTAGATCCTCGCATTAAGGGTACTATTTCTTATCGTAAAGATTTTGCCTATAAAAATGATCTTTTATTACAATACAATGCTCGAGTAATTCATTATCCGGTGGCGTTTGTCCATCCGATAGATGTATTTGATGTTCAAAGTGCTATTAAATGTGGTGCAATGTTAAATTTTACCGTTATACCAAGATCAGGTGGTCATTCTGATGAAAGTTATAGTATTGGAGATAGAGATTGTATTTTAATTGTTGATCTTAGGTACATGAGTAAGATTATCATAGATACAACCACACAAACTGCTAAAATCGAAACTGGAAATACTTTAAATACATTATATTATAGTTTGAATGAGCATGTATTTGCTTTTCCGAGTGGTGAATGTTCTACAACTGGTGTTGCTGGCATTATTTTAGGTGGTGTAAGTACTATATTGTTTGAAAATTTTATTATGTATTTTTTCATTATTTTGTCATTATTTTGACTATGTGTAATCTAATAATAGGTTTTCTTTTTAATAGGGACATGGTTATCTTATGCGAAAATTTGGAATGTCATGTGATAATATCCTTGATGCTCAAATTGTTTTAGCAAATGGAACAATAGTTAATCATGCAAAAGAGTATCCTGAACTTTTTTGGGCTCTTCGAGGTGCTGGAAATGCTGGTTATGGTATTGTTACTACTTTAACTCTTAAGATCTATCCTATCCCTAAGATTGTAACTAGTATGGTTTTAACTTATGATTTTTATCAGACTCAATTAGTATATTCGGTGATTAATAAATTGGGAAACAGTTTTCATCAAAATTTAACTTTAATGTTCGATCATCAAAATGATGTTCAATTCGAAATTCGTGGGTATTATCTAGGCTCTTTAAAGGAAGCAAAACCTCATATACAAAAACTTATTGATTTGGCTAAGCCTAAAAATGAATTATATGTTGAAGGTGATTGGTATAATCGACTCGTTGTAAATACGGTTGGGAATAGGGGTCATTATAAAGATAAGTCATTTTATATTGGCTCATCAGGACTATCTTATGAAGGTGTTGAATATTTAATGGAATTTATGAAAAATTTAAAACGTAATTTCTTGATAAGAACAATGTTAGCTGGTGGAAGAGTTGACGAAATTGGACGAAATGAAACAGCATTTGTTCACAGAGGTCTTTTGTATATGTTGCTTATTGAAGTAACCTTAGATGAGGATAATTATGAAATCCGTTTAAAAGATTTAGAAATTTTTTCTCGAGTCTTTCAAAAAAATTATACTAGTTTTGAAAGTTATCAAAATCATATTGATAAAGAATTAGATAATTGGCAATGTCGATATTATGCCGAGAATTTTAGAAAACTAGTAGAAATTAAACAGAAATATGATCCTAATAATTTATTTAATTGGAGTCAAAGTATACCTACTAGTAATGAAATTTTATGTTATTAGTTAGAAGTGAGTCAAGATCAATATTTTACTTGTAAACTGGCATGTTCTTATGTCCGCGTCTAAATAATAGACTATAGATATTAGGTTATATAAGAACAAAACAGGCAGAATTATATATCAGTAAACTTAAACATTATTCTTTATTAATTATATATTTGAGTAAAAATTCAATTGTAATTAATATAGTCTCTATTGATAATAATTATATTCTAAGTTATTTGGATAAGTGAAAATTTACTAAAAAAATGCAATTAACATATCAGCTGCTTACATAGCTGATGTTAGTTGTACTTTTATAATAAATTTTATCTATACTTAATCATTCAGATGTATATATTTGGTTTATTTTCTGCTATTATATAAAATATATTTGTTAAAGTTTTTGTTAATAAAACATTATGATCTTAAATAACTTGCTAATAATTATTGGCAATAAAAATTATATAAATAAAAAAGACCTAATCAGATTAATTATAAAGCAGGCAGTTATCAAAATTTTAGAATTTTAGTATTTATAGCTGTTAATAGCTTGAGTAGCTTAGCTTGGTTCTTAAAAGTCATGGTTTAACTTAGTTATAACTATTAAAACTACAGTTTAAATTACAGTTCAAGCCATAGTTCAAGTTATAGTTGAATTTATAGTTCTAATAGCTATTAAGAAAATTTTAATTTTTTTTAACGATTTATAATTAAATATATCTTTAAAATTAGATAAAGCTGTTTTTTATTTCAAATTATATATACTTATAAAATTTATTTTAAAAAATATTAAAATAAGATTATACTTCTATCTTTATTAAATCTCAGTTAAACTTTTTACAAATAGAATATATAGAAATAATATTTGAATTTTATATTTACTAGATATTAAGATCAAAAGTTTAGACCAGCTATTTGTAATCTAAATCTATTAGAATATTTAAATTTCAGAGTTTCTAATTAAAATAAAAAAGTTTATTTAGTATTTAATCTATTTAAAATACTATGTTTTAATTTTAAATTAGTTATTAAATATAATACATGTTGAGTTAATAAGTTTTTAAAATTATATAATATTAAAAGAGATTGAGATTATCTATTAAAATTAAGATTATCTATTAGTTAAGGTCTAGAAGCACAATATAATATCCAGATTTGAGTATAAAATTGTTTTTTTAAATATTAAAGGTGAGGTCATGCTTTAAACTTTAAAGAGTATAAATTTGTTAGTTAAGATAAAGCAAAAATTTAATAAAAAGTATAATAGAAATCTTAGTAAATAAAGTAATATTATTAATTAAATTATTTAAATTACAAAAAACTAGGCCAGTTAAGGTAAATAACAAGAATGTTAAGTTAGATGTATTATGAATTTATATACAATCAAGGTTTTTAATATAATTATATAGTATTTAGTAGTATATCAAGAGTAAATATATTTAAAGTATAGTTAAATAAGTTATTAATAATTTTATAAAAAAAAGTTGAAGATGGGAAAATAGCTTAATAAAGTAAAGTACTAGTTTGATCATATTAGTAACAGTTATATAATTAAATATAGTTATCTTTGTATATATTGTAAAGTTGGAAGATCATTTATAAAAATTTTTATATAAAATAATTTAAAAAAAATATTAGGAAAACTATATAAATAGGAGTGTGGGAACCTAGTGAAGTGGTCAGGTTGTCAACCCCCCAAGTGGTAGGTTGGGTGTTCAAATCCCATTAACAGCAAAAATTTGGATAATCACTTATGTAATATTTATATTACAGCAACTGTTACTAATGATTGGGTTAAAATACCTGTAATAATGGTTGCACCAACATAACTGGCAGGTTATAGGGCATCTGTGCAATGTTGGAGTTACACAGAGGAATGCAAACTGACATATCAGATGGTGCAAACACTAGATAAGTCCTTGTAGTTATATAAATCTATTAAAATTGGGTAACAAGAAGTTCATTCAGGAAGACCTGAGAAGAGAGGTAGCTGGATCTTCAATGACCTACTGTAAAGGCTAGCTTAACAAAACAGATACCAAGGTCTAGTACCCAGTTCTAGTAGCCAAACAGACAAGAACTTCCAAGATAGGAGTCTTGGAGATACTACCAACCAGGTCACAAGAACAAACTAGAGGAAAAGGATATCAGGCTGACCTGATATACCAATGAACTGATAGTAGTCCTATATAGGCTATTTGGATTGGAAGTTTTGTAAAAGGGCAAGAGAAAAGGCAGGGGTATACTAAAGTATTGGGATTATGCTGTAAAGTAGATGCTGAGGTCTAAGCGAACTCTACAAAGGCATAGCAGTTTAATGATTAACCCTTACTGCAAGTGTTAGTTCTACTATAGTGATATCTAGATCAGCTGTAAAAATGGGTACAGAAGGCTCTAAGAGGTTTAGCTTAAGGATAAATTAGTCCTAAAGTTGAGGATAATGATCTGGGCATCTGAGATGACTATTGATATTAATACAGATTACAGGTTCAGAGTATTTAAAGTGAAACACCCAAGCAGGAGTGTTAGGTATGGCAATTGGTAGAAAACCTTCAAGCAGACTTTTTAAATAGATAATATAGAAAAGTTACACATGTAACCAATTGTATGCTCTTCTATAGTGGTTCATTGAACCACAATACTGATAAGTAATTAATAAAAGTCAAAAGACCAAAGAGGTCATCTTAATACCAAAAAAAAAAAAAACTATATAAATAGTTTGTTATTTTCTTATTATTGTTAATATTGTTATATACTGGAAAATGTATCTTCTAAAATCCCCTATTCATAAGGTAAACAAAAGTCTCTTCTGTAATGTCGAATGGAATAGTACTCAAAAGAGATGTTGGATTTGGGTAAGTACTACAGATAAGTATTACTTTATTAATTGTTATATGAGACTTGTTTTTATTACATTATAACTACATTACTTATATAATTTTTTCCCTATATGCTATATCTACTAATTATACTCTATATACTATATCTATTAATTATGCTGATTATGCTATATCTACTAATTATGCTCTATGTGCTATATTTACTAGTTATGCTCTATATGCTGTATCTACTAATTATGCTTTATATACTATATGCTATAATAATTACTATATATTATTACTTCATTATATGATATAACTTAAATAAAATATCAATGATCCTATTTTGGATCATGACAATATAAAGCCAAATAACTTTTTAATTATTTGAATTATAATTTGTAATAATTTTAAAACCAGTTTTAGTATTTATAAAATTTTATATTACTGGCTTAAATATTAAATAAAGTATTTAACTTTTTGTTAAAATATATTTAAATTATTTATACTTAAATATAATTTAGAAAACTTGTTTTATTCTTTAAAAAAAATTTTTTTATTCTATTTTATACTTTATTTTAATATAAATTTTATTAAAAATGATTAAAAATTAATTGTTTTATAAACAAAAAACTCTAACTAATTACTTTTTCTAAAAAATTTTAAATAAGTTTTTTTAAAAAAAAATTCAGATCTCAAATATGCTTTAAAATATCTAATTTAGTAGTTTATTTATTAATAATACTTTTATAAATTTTTTTTTGATTTTTTATTAATTAATATAAAACAAAAAAAATATAATAACTTAATAAAGTAAACAAAATATTAACTTTTAAATAGCAAATCTATTATTCAAATTTTACAAATAATAATATATAGAAAAATTATATCAGAATGTAGTAACCTAGTGAAGTAGTCAAGTGTCAACCTTCAAGTGGTAGGTTGGGTGTTCAAATCTCATTGACAGTGAAAATTTAGATAATCACCTATATAATATTCATATTATGGCAACAGTTACTAATGATTGGATTAGAATACTTGTAATAGCAGTCACACCAGCATGACTGGCAGGTTATAAGACATCTGTGTAAGTATAGCATTACACAAAGGAAGACAAACTAACAAATTAGATAGTACAAATACTAAATAAGTTCTTGTAGCTTATAAATCTGTTAAAATTGTATAACAAAAAGTTTATTTAAAAAAACCTGAAAAGAGAAGTATCTTAGAAAAACATATACCAAGGGCTTAGTATCTAGTTATAGTATCCAGATGGGCAAGAACCTCCAAATTGGAAGTCTTGAAGGTATTACCAACCAGGCCACTGGAATGAACCAGAAGAAAAGAATATCTGGTTGACCTGATATACTGATAAACTGATCATAGTTTTACATAGGCTATCTGAATTGGAAGTTTGGTAAAAAGGCAGATGAAAAGGCAGGAGTATACTAAAGTACTAGGGTTATGCTGTGAAGTAGATGCTAAGGTCTAAGTGAACTCTACAAAGGCATAGCAGCTTAATAGTTAAGTTCTGATTACAAGTGTTGGTTCTGCCATAGTAATATCTAAATCAGCTATAAAAATGAGTACAAAAGGCTCTGAAGGGTTTACCTTAAGGATAAATTAGTCTTAAGGTTGAGGACGATGATCTAGTATATCTGAGATGATCAGTGATGTTAATACAAGTTACAGGTTCAGAGGGTTTAAAGTGAAACATCCAAGTAGAAGTGTTAGATATAGCAATTGGTAAGAAACCTTCAGGTGAACTTCTTAAATAGGCAATATAGAATAGTTATACATGTAGTTAATTGTATACTCTTCTGTAGTAGTTCATTGAACCACAATACTGATAAGTGATTAATAAAAGTCAAAAGACCAAAGAAGTCCAAAAAAAAAAAAATTATATCTATATTATAGTAAACTGTTTTTTGATTATTGGTTAGATTATTACATCTGTAATCTTAAATATATTAGCTCAAAAAAAAGCTTAAGTATTTTTATAAAATGTAATATTATATGAATATAGAAAATATTAAAATTGATATTGTATAAGACTTTAGTACAAACTTATAATAAGACTATTAGATATAAAAAACTAAAAGACTAAAAAAACAGATTTCTATTTGAAAATTCCTAACTAAAAAAATAGCACAAACTTTTAACAATACTATTAAACTAATAGTTGCTCAAAATAACCCAAAA